AGAGCAGAAAAATCACAGACTGATGTACACAAATGTTGCTGGCTGGTTTCTGACTTGCAGCCCCCTTGCAGGGGAGATGCTTCCTGTACTGTGCAACACCGTGGTGGGAGCAGCCTGCCAAGGCGACCTCCAGGAGAGCCCGGAGCCACAGTGTGCTGGCAAAACACTTATCCCCACCAGTCCTTGGGCACCCAGTGGGATGCTCTTGCAATGAATGGTTGACACAGCCCTTAGCAGGGTCCTGGCCTCCACTTTTCTGGCTCCATGCACGCCCCATGCCCACAGAACCCATGAGCCCTCCAGTGCTGGGCAAGACACGAGCCACCTCCTTGCACGCTGTGGACGCTCAGCCAGCACAGGACGGAGGAGGAAAAGGAAGGGACAGGCAGCCCAGAGCACACTTGGAGAAGACAATCACAAAATCCCAAGAAAACACAAAGCTCCCCAAACAAAGCCCCAGGAAAACCCACCTTCACGTAGGAGTCGCATGTCCGGTACTCCTTTCCCATCAGACCTTTTGCTTCCATGACTGGAAAGGAAATGAAACAGTCATGTCCCAGAGCAGTGGGGGGAGCTGCAGCCCTCTGCTCCATGGGGTGCTCCCTCCTCGTGGGGCCAAACCCACCTCCTATCCCTACAGTACCCTGCGCACATCCCCCCAGCAGCCTGGTCTCACTGGGCACCCACAAACAGGTGAAGGGTTTTATTGTATTTTTTTCTTTAATATACCCACACTACAAATACAAACGTCTGTGGGTGAGGGCGGCAGCAGATGCAGTTGAGCCTCTGGATGGCAAATTGCATTTAATCTGCCTGACTTCACACAGCTCTGGGCTCCCTGCCCCGGAGCCAAATGTATCATCAAGTTAAATATCAACGGCCGCATCCTGATGGCAGCCCCGGCAGCAGGGACTCAGCATTGCACTGCTGCCAACAGCCGGGAACCCTGCACTTCCCGTCCATGTGGCTGGAGGCAATAGATGTGGAGCAGAGTCTGGATAGCCCAGGACTGGCTAAGCTCCCTCCTAACAAGCCCGGCATGGCAGCAGTGACTTTGCTTTTGTCAGAGATAGATATATGCTCCTAACGAACATGGTCAGCCCGACAGACACCCCAGTGCACAAGGGGAAAGGGGTTCTGCAAGACCCTCTTGCAAGGTTCATCCAGGACAGGCTGCACCGAGAGCTTCCCCCTCCAGCCAGACCTGCTTTGGGTTTAAAGATGTTGGGATGGAGAATGAAAAAGTAAGATGGATGCCCCCACATCATCCAGCCTCCTCCTGCCCACACCAAGTACCCTGAGCATCCATCATGTGCAGTGGACTCTCGGGTTCCAGACCTTGAGCCTCCTTTGACTCTTTGCTGGACCATTTCCCTCTTCCCAGACCCCCTCCTGGAGACGCCATTGGAATGAGACAGTGACTCACAGCCAGCTCACACTGGGGCTGCTCCAGATGGAGAGATTGGGGTAAAGCCTGTGCCAGACCCTCAGAACCACACACAGCTTGGAGGGAAGGAAAAAAGCAACTACCCAACACATTTTCCTACTGTTGTTTCTTTACAAAGCTTTCCTGCACAGCCAGAAAAGGGCAGCAAGAGCTCGTGGCTGCCAAGTGGAGGAGAACAGGGGCCGCGTGTGGCCCTGCTGGTCCCCACAGCCCCACCAGGCTCAGGCCATCCTCCGCCCCCATTTCATTACAGCCAGGCAGGGGTGAGGCTGGGCTGTAAGGTGGGATGTTGCTCAAGAGAAACTCTTTTCTATCCCTCCTGCCCTGCCCCACAGGTCTCTGGGATGGGGGTGCTTTCCCCACCGAAGGACAGCCAATCCCAAGAGCACTGGGAGTCCCAGGGCCCTGTTTTCCTTTCACCCTGCAAAGTCCAAATCCAGGGCAGCAAGGAGCCTGTTCACAGGGAGGGAATTTTTACTGTGACAATTTCAAACTTTTGACTCTTTCCTTGATTCTTTAACCACTTACCATGAAGCCCTGACAAGCAGCCGGTAGAAAGACCTCTGTGACAGGAGACCAGACCATCCTTCACTGCAGGAGCCACCCTATGGGGCCCCCCAAGTGTCTCCAGATAGGTTTTTCCTAAAGAAAAGAGCTAGCTCTGACACTCTCATTGGCCTTTCTAATGAATACCATTAAAGCTGCAAGGCCACAGTTCCCTAGGACCTGCCCTATGGCTGTGACGGACACAGTTTCCCAGATGATGCATCGCTCTCCTGCGCTGGTACACAGCAGTGGTGGCCAAGTCTGAGTCCACAAAGAAAGCAAAGCATCTCTTGTGCCCAGTGGGACATGCCATGCCTTGAGGGACAGCAACCCCAGCCTGGACCAGGTGAAATATTTTTGCTGAAGGAATATTGCTGGTGTTAAAAAAATACAGCATTTGGAGGTAACTGAACCAATCCTGGCAAACCTGGCAAACAGTTTTGGCCAACGTAAAAGACATTTCAGAAGAGACAAAGCACTTCAGATTTTCTTTTCCAAATTACATCTGCCTTTTTTGTCTTCACATGGAGTTAAAATACCAAGTGGAGGCAAAACACACCATGGTCCCACGGAAATTTCGGTTTGGCCTCTAAATCAAAGAGCCCCCAGTCATATTGCTCTGCCACAGAGCTGATCTTGACAGCTTCCACGAAGCTCCGAAGAGCTTGAAGAAAGGGCATAGAAGTGCTGTCTCCATCACTAGCCCACCATGGCTCTGGGGCCACCTTGCATACGCTCCAGGGAGATACTCACTGTGCAGCACCAGGATCCGGCCCTGCACCTCGATGGACAGCTTCAGCTGGCCTAGAGGGAAGGAGAGGAGAGACGGTGAAGGGGGCAGGGCTCACCCACTGCCTCTGGCACTCAGCAGCACAGGGACCCCACAGCCCTTGCATGGGGCCTAATCCATCCTGCTTCCCCACCCCTGGGCACCGGGGTATCACTCAGGGGGTCAAGGGGAAAGAGGTGGGAGGAAACATCTTCTGTTACCAAGAAAGTCACAGAATTATAGAATCGTGTAGACTGGAAAAGACCTTTAAGATCATGGAGTCCAA